TCTAAAGGATTGTAATACAATTTATCAAAATTGCATTCATACTTTGTGCCTAAAATAACGAAAATTTTTTTACTTTCAGATACAAAAGAAGAATTTTCAATTAAACATCTTTAATAGAATTTTGTAGTTTTAAATAAAAACCGTAGGTAAGAACAAATAGTAAAAGTAAAATTTCAATTCGGAATATTACAAGTATTGCAAAAGCAAGAAACTTATCAGACTTACGCCTGGATCCTAAGAATTCATAATTATCCAATATTCATAGATAGAATCCATAAAAATTATCCAATTATTTCATAAACATCAGAGAGTGATAAAATTTATTAAAAAATATTTTAAAGATTTATTACATTCCATCTCTTAATTTAAATATTTATCAGTTCTTTTATATTCTTAATCCATTATATTTCGTCCCGACAAGATTAAAATTTCATATCTCCATAGCTCAGCAATCGCTTTATCCTTCTTACGTAACAGTCGACTTTGTATTTTTCTTATAAGAAGAAAATATACAGCAATATGCTCGTGAATACATTAAAACATATACATACATGTATTAGAATTTGTACGCTGGTTGGAAGTATGAATTGAACACGTTTTGAATGATGCAAAATAAATATCTCTTTTAGAAATGTATGTAAGACTGATGAATTCTTGGGAATTATTACGACAATGTAACAAGTGGGACTATCGTGATAATACGATTTTTTAAATAATCTTTACATAGTGCAGTGACGAACCGCGACGGAAAAAGTGCTATGTATCGCATGTATGACGTAAATAAATAATAGCTATATATACAAGGCTGCGTTATGTCGTTTATTGATCTATTTAGTGTGTTTTATACTTAGCGCCTTGCATATGTCACATCGGTTACTTTTATATTATAATATAAATCCGGGCTATCGCGGCCACTTTAACATTCCTTGACAAAAGTAATTTCGTCTTGTATCATCGAAAGACATATTCAAATACTGCCTGAGTATTTAAATAAAGATGTTGATATTTTCTTCTTTATCTGATAAAATTTGTGTATTTATGCACAGCATTAGCTGTTTGAACTGTTGCTAGAGTTGATCCATGAGATTCCAGAATTTAATAATAAGCGTCTAATATCTTTCGTCAAACATAACTTTAGCTTTACAAAATACGAAAAAAAAAAAAAATAATAAAACGGAAATGATAAAACGGAAATGATAAAACGGAAATGATAAAACGGAATAGATTATATACATAACAGAAATAAAAGTCCAAATATATTCCAATCTTTCGTTTTCTCTTTGGCAAGTATATAGATGTTGCAGACGATACTTTTAAAATCATCAAGCGATACCAAATAAAAGCGTCATCTAAAGTACACCTATTTTTTCTTCAACTTACAAAATTTATTATACTTGGATTATGTAAATCCATTTTTATTAAATTTGAAACGCGTGACTCCATAATGAATTTTGTAAAACCTTAAATAATTACCGAAGGATAATCCTGAAGTGTATTTTTTTTTAGAAATTATCAAGCAGAAGAAAAATTATATTAAATGAGAGGAATGTGAGTGTAAAAAAAGTAAAGAGTTTTAAAGACATATTCTTGGAGAGATTAACTCTTGAATTTAACGTTATAACGATCTACATAATTTGGAGAGGTCTAATTTATCAACCCGTTTAACATCCCGTCAATCGCTGTCGCGTCAAGTAACATGTAAACTGAGCGTTCAATAATATACGAGCATATTAACGATAATTGTTAAGATCATCTCGGTAATCGATTTATGCATGCGGAAGAAATCCGATATCGATTTCGACTCTGAGACCGAGAAACGGTCAAACGTGCGAGCGTTCATCTTACGAGATTATTCCAATCGTGCGCATCCTACCTGATGCTCCTGTCTTGACACTGCATAAAATTATACATCGATACAAGTTCGCTTTAAGATTGACTTGGCATGGTGCCATCGTCGAGATCGATGCGATCAAACTACTGATTAAATAAACTAATCTAATCAAATAAGAGTGGAACTTGATCCGGAAATTATCGTGGAAAGATTTGGTATCGCGAAATTATTTTCCTGGATTCTCATAATTATCCTTTATTATTAACACGAGATTCTCATTATCCTTATTAACGAATGAGACAGGGTCTTTGGACCTTTGCATTTCTATAAGGATAGAAACGCAGTTACGATTTCGATGAGTTCGAATTTCGAATCAGCGTATGCAAGTCTCTCATCGTATGCGATAAAGATGCATAATGGATATATAAGCTTCGTATAACGTTTAAAATTAATGAATTAACGGAACAAGAAAATCGTCCGCGAGCCAAACGCAATTGTAGATTTATCCAAAATGTTTGTCACATATATGTCATGTATCAACTAATAAAGTTAAACACAAAATTTCAGCAGAAATCAAAGTAGAAAGTGTCACCATAAGCTTCGATACATTTTCCCCTTTATCCAGAGAGGAATTTTTTTCAATTACTTCTTGAAAAAAAATTGTTACTCTACTCCTTTCTCTTATATTTTATACAAATCTTGAAATGGGAAACGACAAATTTTTTTTCATCAATCAAGTAGAAGTATAGAAACATAGATTTATATATACAATGTCATCAAACAATGCGATTTTCTCTTTTCGTATCACGATATTCCGAACATTAATATTGATTTGGAGTCTCAATCTACATTATTAAAGTTTAATAATGCTTACGTCGCATCTCTTAGACATTCGTTTTTACAAATTAAATTACAAAAATTAAAATCAGTATGCAATTTCATAAACTCTATGTCGTTATTGATGATGACAGATCGCAATTTGTACGTACACCTCCAGGTTATATGATTCAACTGGTTTATGAATACGTTATGCTCGTAAAACGCAAACTAATCTTTTAATTAAAAGTTTGTTAGCAGAGGTGACGTTAGTATATCGTCATTTCGTGTGATTAACCACCCAGATCAATTTTTTTCAAGTAAATATTAAGATGTAGGCGCCTTGTTCATAGATAAATCTGTACCAATATGACGAATAATAAACAATTTCGCAATCATTTTTCGCAAGCAAAATGTATACGTCGTCAATAATGGATACAAATTGACTGCCACCAGCGTGCCAGTATTTATTCTCTGAGAGCAATTTATCATCGGTTGTGACGACGTTTCTGCTTTATTACGAGAAAATAACCAGAGCATAGAATAAAAGCGTACTTTGAAGTGCGCAAGAGCTTCCCATTAAAAGGGAGGCAATTTAATATTCATCGTAATCAAGTAATAATTTATCCGTTTCCTCTCCGCTTCGTCAACTGTTTTGCTTTAAACTTTAACGTATTATTTTTACTTATTTAACAAATTGCTATTTATTCGAGTGAATTTTGCTTAATATCCATTATCATTTATCGCAAATTATTCATCGTGAGATATTATGAAATATTAAAAATCACTGTTACATATTGCACTAGAGACTCATTTCTTTTGAACAATTTTAGAGACAAGAAAGCTTGATGACGAACTTCTTTACTTAATTCCCTCAGTCAGGCAATGTAGCTGCGCACGATCGTCATAATTACTTAAAAAGCGGTGGAATTACAAATCAAGGTTAACAAAAGCTGAATCGAATCTTAACTTAGCAAACTTGAGCAGACTTCAACCCAGAAACTTCGCGGAGGCAATTAATTGAAATTCGATAACGCTGATATAACAGATAGAATAAAGTTGAGAATATATACGAATACGAAGAATATGTTTAGAAACAAATCACTTTATAAAGATATAAAGATATAAAGATAAGATTAAATAAATAACAAACAGATGTATAAGTAAAAAAAAGTATATATTTAAGATATATGAAAAATAAAATGTTTCTTTCTAGTTATCTTTGACACTCCTTGGATTCATTCTTATTTATGTACAAAAGTCAAGTATAAAAATTATTTTTTGCAATTAAGATTGATCTTAATTCGCTATTATTTAAGAAATTTTTCTAGATATTTTACATTATGCTTTTATATCATATATATCAATTTTTCGAGTAAGATACGCGCGCTAAAATTTTTCCAGCAAAATCCAGTATTAAGTTTATAAATTGTACACAGTCATCTTATACAATTTCTCTCTCTCTTTTTTTCTCCGTTTTATTTTCTTAATTAGCAACATGAGACAACGAGAGTTTGCAAAAATAGAAACTAAGCAGAGAGAGAGAGAGAGAGAGAGAGACAAATCAATTAAACTTAATTCCATCAACTCTATTAGGAACAATTTAATGGCATTTTAATAGCGTAGCGCGTAATAAGTACAGAAAATTCATTTGGAGATTAACATTAATCCGATAAATCAATAAGAACGAATGAGAGAAGACGAGAGAAGAAGAGAGAAACAAAAAGACAGAGGAAAAGAGTATGAGTGAGTATTGAATGGCGCAACAGCTTAAGTGAGATGCATCAATGACGAAACACATCTCTAAATAAACTGGAGATCAATTAGACTAATTGTTAAAGTGAAAAGAGATATTACAATTATTTTGATCGAGCTTATGCTTATCTTACGCTCATAAATTTAAACAAATGAAAAAAAATATACTATACTGAAGTTTTAAATGACATGAATAATTTTTCAGTCTTCATTTCGCAACAGATTTCATTATATTGCAAATATTTTTATCTGTTACACTTTGCTCTTTATGGTCGCAATTACAATTATCATGACAGATTTAAATTAACTTTGTGCAATAAAAATTTATTAAGTAATATTATTTCTTTCAATACAAAATAATATATATATATATATAATTATATAATTTATTACAAATGACACTCTTTTAAACCAAAAAGTGCAAAAAAAAATTATATTTATATTCCAAGTGTATAACAATTTAATATTAATTTGTGTCTTAAAATTCAATTATGGAGAGCCAATGTTACATGCAATTTTCCAATATCACAAAGTTAACTTTAAATATTTGAAATATTTGAAATTATATAAAGAGGATTTTATTACATTTTGATTTTTTTCTTATTTTTTTTTTTTAATTAAGAATGGAGAAAGGATATCGAGAAAGATATCAACGTGAGAATCGAGAATTGAATACGAGTGAATCATGAATATGAATCGTTTGTAGAAAATTAAAGCAACAAATTTTCAACACGAGAAAGCATAGAACTCACGTATCCTTTCCGAAATTATAATACTGAAGAAACTGCGTATCAAGATGAATAAAAGATTAATGAAAAGATAAAATCTCTCCCAAAAAGATCTGAAGAAATATATTTGAGGTAAAACATTCCAACTATCTGTAAATTGTTATCTTTGACGATGTCCGATTCGAGTAAACTTTAGGAACAGTAAAACGAGACGAAAAAGATTACAACAGATCAACTGAATGAGAACAAGAACTTTTTATACGAGTTACAGACTAGATAGTTAGTCTTAAAATCCAAAAATTCTGCTAATATCTTTATATAATTCTCACGTTTCAGAGCGGATTGCAAACATTAAGATCTCTTAAACGTCCGTTAATATATGAAGGTATTTCTCTATATGAAATTTTTTGGCGTCATAAGAAAAAATAATTCTAATTCACCCTCAATTTATGTGAAAATTTTGTCTGTCTTCAGACATATTCATATGTTGAGGAACATATATACGGTCAGAGGAAACAAGCGTGCGAGACGAACGAAGTGATTCTCATTCCGAGGGACTTTCGAGGGGCGCAAATGTAAAAAGTATAAAAGAATAAGAGCAAAAAAAGAACATATGG